GTGTGTAAAAATTTTCTAAAAAAAAAAAAAAAGAAAGAAGCGCTTCTCTTGCATTTACCCCTCAGGGGGCTTGCTAGGCTCGGAGCCTCAGGGCTCTCCTTTCCTCAGAGCAGGTCTCGGGTATCAAGGATGGCACTCTCTTGACAAGGTGGGCATCTAGGCAGGCAGCTCGGAATCAGGAGCAGGAAGGGGGGCGGCCATAACCACACAGGCCTTCTCATCTTCACTCGCATCTTTCTTCTCTCACATCCTGGGAATCTTGAGCATAGTGCAAACTGTCGCCTTGACTATTGTTATTGTTGTTACTATACTACTGAATTGTGTAGGAAGTTATGAATTTTTAAAAAATGCCAGGAAGCCTAATAGCGAAAGTTGTGTTGTTTTTGACACTAAGGGGAGAAAAGAAACTAGTTTTGACTTGGGAAGACTGAATGGTAGAGAAGAAAACAAGCCAGCTGCCGGCTTGTGTCAGAGTAGACAGAGCAGATGCAGAAGACATCTGCCGGGGTATTTGCCACATGTGGTCACTTTCTGTATAGTCTCCAGGTAGCTGTGTCCTCATAGGCCTGGCTGGCCTCTCGAGCCACCTGCTAAGCCTGATTTTCCCCACAAACACACAGCTGGTGTTGGTCTCACGCCACATTCTCAGCCTAACCCTTTACACTCACCTCATCAATAAAAATCCAGTTTAATGTGCTAATATGAAATGATAATATGAGCTGTAACTGCTGTGTCCAACCCATTGGGGACTCTGATGGTTGCCTCTTTAGGCATGAAGAGAGATTTGGGAACTGGTGATAAAGCTCTTAAATTTCTACCAGGGGGAAGGCAGGGGCAGGTGTGGTGAGGTGGGGGGAGTATATATACGGTACCCCAAAAGCATGTATACACACTTTAACAGCTGATAACTCACTTAATTTTCATCTCTTTTTAGGTTTAACTAATTTGAAATAATGGGTGAAGCCAGTCTAAGCTTTGAACAAAGAATATTTATCCACTAGACTTTCTAAAGCTGATACATAAAAGATAAAGTTTACGGTATAAAACTAGCAACAGTTGACGAATTGAGGGCCCACAAATACCCAATGAGATGTTCTTGATGTTTGCAGTTTCATTGCTTCACATTATCAGCAGTGCCTGGACTAGACAATCATCAATTTGAAAATGCATTGACAAAATTTATTCATTTCTGTAGGTTCTTTTAAATTTTGAAAATGAACTGTATGCTAATAAACACTAACTTTATAATCATTCAAAGTGTATATACATTTTTGGGGCACACCCTATATATCTAGACTGGCCTAGATTCAGTCAGCCCTGCCCATATGCAATAATTAAGTTGTCAGCTTTTGTTCCTGACATGACAACAGCCTCTACTTTTCATTGATGTTTACATAATATAGACTTACTCAAAGTCATCTTATTAGTGAGTAGCTTACCCTCTTTCTAATTGGTCCTGGCTATTCTGTTAAACACAATTGGTTTGTCCTGATTGGTGGTTATGGACTCACTTCATTGTATAACTGATCGTAGAAATAGAAAGCTATCCACGGCTTACGATGCTCTCCTCTTACTTTAAGGTGGAAATAAAGTACATAAGATAAAAGGAAACTTCTTTCATACCTTTAAGATTTGGGGACTTTTTTATTCCCTGTTCTTGGTATGAGTTGCTCTTTATCTAAGCTTTTTAATCTTGGGGAAAAAAAACTAATTGATAGGAATTCTACTTTTGGTCTCTTTGCCACCCTTTCTTGAGGATACATCTGGCACAGTCCACAGTTTCTGGTTGAATTGTCATATCTTTCACCACCACGATAGCAGCTTGAATTGGTTATCTTCATTGTGTGAATCCAGTAGGCAGTGATGAGTCACGGGCTGAGAGAGGACATTTCAAAGCTGTTTCCAGATCATTTAGCTAAACTGGAATATTAGACCAAGATATTTCTTCTTTCTTTTTTCTTTTTACCGTTAGAGTACCTCATTTCATTTAAAAATTTAAATATTTTGGCCATGATAGAAAAATTATTTTTGCCTTATTAATCTTCTATAGTGTAAGCTTCCCGGTATTTAACAAATTAGAGCAGGGAATTAGGTAATATTAAGAGACTTAATGGAGAAAAGCCTTTTGTGAATCTTCGGAACATCTCTTTACTGCATGTTGCCTTTTAGAGGTGGAGTCTGTTGACGAAGGGCTGCTCCAGTTCTGTGCCAGCAAGCTGAAGCTGCTCCATCTTTACGAGTCCGTCAGTCAGTTAAATGCCCTTGGTTCTCCTGCAGACACGTCGGTCTCTGAGAACGTGAGTACTCGCATTACCCACTCGACAAAATCGTCTCCCCGATTATTTTCAGTTTTTCAAATTGGTAGTAAAGAAGTAGAAAATGGAAAATTTTATAAAGCATACAGGTGTAGTTTCTTTACTGCTAATTCTCTATGTCTTGGTGATAAATTTATATTATTTATGCCAGAAAATTAAAGTTTATTGTTAATCCATTTACACTACCGTAGAAGCTTCTAGTTTTTCTGAACTCTTTTTTTTTTTAATCCTCACCTGAGGCTATTTTTTCCTTTGATTTCTAGAGAGAGTGGAAGGGGGGAACAGAAGGGAGAAAGAGAGAAACATCGATGTGAGAGAGAGACATCGATTGGTTGCCTCCCGCACTTGCCCCTACCGGGGCTGGGGATTGAGCCTGCAACCCAGATATGTGCCCTTGACTGGGAGTCAAACTCAAGACCCTTCAGTCCACAGGCCGATGCTCTAACCACTAGGCAAACTAGCCAGGGCCTGAACTCATTTTTTAAAGTTACTACTTACAAAACAAGTTCTGGACAACATTTGCCAGTTAAAATAGAGTCGGCTTACCGAAGTAGCAAAACTTTCATTTCCTTTAAAGAAAAAAAGAAATGATTCTGCCAAACAGAGAGACCACATTTTCTGTGTTGTTGTCAGCAAACTCATACAGCTCATTTGTTGTGTACACATAAAGAAATGCATTTTTAAAAGATTCTATTGTACATCTAAGTGTTTACAATAATTATAATAAATGTTCTATGCTTTTATTCCATAAAACATAACATAACAAAAGTGACAGCACCTGGTAATCTCTATTTATTACATGCAGTATCATTCATTTCTGAGGTGTGTATATAAAATCCTTACATTCCATACAGAGAAGTGAAGTTTCTTTAATGGGGACTAGAGAGAAGTATGTCCCCTCTCCCACTCGTTTCTCTGTGACCGTGGCCAGCTGTCTGGTTTTACTGATGTCAGGTCACTGGTAGTTCTTTTAAGAAAATTATCTGGTGCATCTGAAATGTACTTTAAACATGTATACATGAATAACAATTTCTTAAACATAAAAATGAGAGAAGATTTTTCTCTCTGTAATGGAAACAACCACATTCTAGCATCTTTTTTTTATCTTTGGGATTATAGATGGATTTTACAAAGCATTTGAACAGTAATATATTCACAGTATTCTGTGACTGCTGTTGCACATGACAGAGCCATTTTCCAGGATCTTTTGTTTTGCTGCCTACTTCACCAATCATGTAAAATTATTTCAAGCAACAGGAAGGTTCAGGTTGATTGAGTTACGTGCACAGGATTGCCTAGGCATTTCATAGATTCTTCAGTGCCTAATGTTTTCATGAGACCCCAGCTACCGTCTCATGCCCTGCCAAAGGAAGTTACATAGATGACTCTGCTAATCCCCTGCAGAATGCATCTCCACCTGATAGCCCCGCATAATGTGCAAAGACAAAAGAATTACAAATTCTTAAAAATCAGTTGTCAGATTCTTTTTTATTTTTAAAGCACTTTTTAGAAATTAAAACCTTATTTGCCATAGACTTGTTTAGATCCTTTACACACCATACACTCAGCCGCTAGGCTGACTGGCTAATTCTGTGCACACAGAACTGAAATTCAGGGCTGAATTAATTCATTTTGCTGTGTCTGGGACATGGTCCATAAGCTCGTCTATAAACCAGTATACCATGGACTGCTGGCATGCGTTCAGTAGCATTTGGCAGTTTACTGCTGGTTTGTGGAAACAACAGCCTTAGTCAATAAATAGATAAAACTGCTCTGGTTTAAGGATGCAGCCTTACTCACGTCACATGGGGGGAGCGAGTTGTGCTTGCTGTGGCAAAAGTGTGGTCTTTAAAGTGTGTGTGTGTACTTTTCCCCAATTTAGAAAAACAGTCGGATCAGGAGATGTTCCTGCACATTGGTATAGAAGAGTGGTTTGAAAGGCTGCAGGCTGTATCAGGGACTTCTGATCTCTGTAGCCCCGAAGCCACATGGAGAATTTATATGTAATACATTTTCCAGTGTTTTTGCAGCTGAATAAATGAGGAGTCCGTTTCTTATTGACTAGTCCCTTAGTTTCCTCAGAATCACAAGAGTGGCAGTGGACACCCTGTTAAATTTTTTTTTCTGATTACACAGTAACACTTTCATTAAAATCTGAACATTTTAGACAAGTATAATCTCAGGAAATGTTCTAAAAATGGTACTTTTATTTTACTTTATTTAAATAGCCTCCTCATGAATGTGGGTCAAGTTTTACGCAGAGTAATTGGCGAGTAAGGCCCTAACCAAGTTCATTGGAGCAGTCACATTAATTAAAAATCCATCTTTGCCTTGTGGTGTTGCATTTCACTTCAGGGGACGGGGTTGACACCCTGGCAGACTCAGAGAGAGCAACGTCGTCCATTCAGAATTTTTTCCTGTTTTTAAGGACTTGGCTGTACTGCTAAGGCTGGATGAAAAGGAACTCGTGAAGCTCCAGGCATTGCTAGAGAAGTACAAACAAGAGAACAGCAGGGCTGCTGTCCGCTTTTCCGATGATCAGGATGGTGTGTTGCCCGTGAAGACATTCCTGGAATATCTAGAGTATGAGAAGGACGTGATCACCATAAGGAAGATGGGTGAAGAGGAGCACGTGGCTCTAGGTGGGTGGACTCTCCTGAGTGGAGAGGCAGCGGCCTGAGGCGGGTGGACTCACAGACCCCTGCTGGAATCCCGCCCGCTCTCAAAGGAAGCCTGATCGAGCCTAGAGTGTCTCTGAGCTTCGGTTCATTTTGAAATTAACCGGAGAATTTGTCAGTTCCCTAAAGATGCCCTGGGTATGCAGGCACGTGTCACAGCAGTTGCGTTGTATCCATAAGTATACTTAAGAGACGGTGGCAGGACGGGCTTCCGCTTTAAGAGTCAAGCAGATTGCACCAGCAGCTTCCCTCCTCTCCCGTGATGTTGCTCTTGGGGGTTTAGGTGGCCGTTGAGAAAGCTTGTCCGAACGGTGAGGGTCACTGGTTAATGCGGCCTGTTTCCGCCCACAGGCAGCTTCTTCTTCTGGAAGTGTCTGCACGGAGAGAGCTCCACGGAGGACACGTGCCGCACGCTGGAGTCGGCGGGACTCAGCCCGCAGCTGCTGCTGGTGAGTTTCCTGTTGCTGACGCTGTTCTCCTGCTCACTCATCCGAACTGTCATCTTTTCGTGTTTTTTTAATTTATTTATTTACTTATTTGCTTACTTACCTACCTACCTACCTACCTACCTACCTACCTAAGCAGCGGTCCAGCCAGTGGTCCGTGAGGTCTGAAAGGTTGGCAACCGCTGGTCTAAAGCATGCCCTCGCTCACAGTTCACAGCTGCGAATGGGAAGAGAGGGAGAACTTCTCCAAGAAAAACAAACACAAGAAACAGAGACCAAGAATTAAAGTAAGAAATTGGATGTAGAATAAGATGAGCTTTAAAAAGAGCCCTGCTTGGTCACTGTGGTCACGTCCGGCAGGGGACATGGCAGCCAACCTGACCCTTGCTCAGCCCTCTGGCCGAGGGAACCTACGTGTGGGTCTGTGTGCCACGCCGTGAGCGTGCATCCTGCTCGCATCTGGCTCGTTCCCAGAGCAGCCACTGCCAGTGCCCGTACCCAGGCAGAGCAGAGGAGATGCCACAGCCTACCTCTTACGTGTGTGACTTAGCCATGGCTTTGTTACACGTCATAGGTGTCGAGGGAACTTAACTCGCATGTGTGTGACATAGCCATGGCTTTGTTACACATCGTAAGATGCCGCGGGAACCTAACTCGTATGGGTGTGAGTTGGGCATGGCTTTGTTACACATCGTAAGGTGCTGAGGGAACTTAACTCATACATGTGTGAGAGGCTATGGTACAGTTGGGGTTTTGTTACACATCATTTCGCTTAAAGTCGCAGACCCTGGTGATGACATTAACTGAGGACTTAGTGTGACAGAGGCTGCAGCTGGAAGGCAGCGCCTAGACCAGGGCAGAGGTGGAGAGGAGGGGTGTAGATCTCCACAGAGGACTAGGGATCCCTTAGGCAGACGGCACCTCGTTCTGTCCTTGTCACATGTTGTCCCAGCCCCCACTCATTTCCCAGAAATTTATTCTAAACTT